TCACTGACCTCTTACTTGTGCAACGTAACATCTGTAGCAAATTAAAATCCAATTTGGCAAAGTTCAGTAACTCATCGTTCCTCGTGACTCCTCCTCGTCTTGGTACACCGAAATGAAAAATCGTGCTTCGATTCTGGGCATGCCAGTGTGCAATGGTAGGAGAGGTGAGGAATGGAGCCTTGAGGCTCCTATAAAAGGAGCCTCAAGGCTCCATAATTTCAATTGCAATGCACATCCGTTAGGCAAGCTTGTAATGCCCATCCGCTAGGCATGCAGATGGGCAGACTACTTAATTTAGGAGTCAAGACTCCATAATTAAGGAGTCTTATACAGTTAACTTATATATTTATATATATATATATATATATATATATATATATATATATATATATATATATATATATATATATATACACATTTTACAGCATTTGTAATTGGCATTATGGGAAAAGAAAAATATTTTCTCAAAACACTCTTGACATTATATATATATATGTGTGTGTGTGTGTGTGTGTGCAAATAATTTTTTTAAATATATATTTATTGATAGATTGATGGATAAAAATTATAATTAATTAAATATATACATTTATATAATACATTATATTTATTAAAGAAATATAAATATTATATAATGTGCAAAGGGTATTTTTGGTATTTGATAGTTTCAGGGTTTTCAGGCCCAAGGAGGTCCAACACAACCTTCGGCTGGTAGGTGCACCTTTTAATGAAATGTATGACTATTTCTGAGTTTATACTAGTACTTGGAACTTTTTGGTATTCTCCCCTCCTCGGGTGTTCAATTGTCTCTCCTTTACAAGAATGGAGGAGCCTTTATATAGCGGCTCCTCCTCTACCGATTTGAAGGCCTTTGATGGCCGACTTCATGGCCAATTAAGATACGGAGCCGTTGGACGCCATTACTCGGTCGACCAACGGCTCTCCCAGGCTTGTAACGGCCTGACCGTGTCCGGCTTTCAATGTCTCAACGGCTCCCTCTTTAGTCGAGCCTCTTCAATGCTCTCAACGGCTCCTTGAGCCGAGTCCTTTCCTGGGCTTGGGCCTCGGTCGACTCCCTGTCTCGGCCTAAGCTCCTACTGGACTCTTTTTGGCAGCTCGGAACTGGGCCCCATGCTTGGGCTTGGGCCGACTCCTCGACTCGGCCCAATTGCTCTTCGGGCTCCTCTCGACGCTGGCCCACTTCTCCCATCTATTTTCTTTGGGCCCTTATACCTTGGGCCGGGGTCCTCACCCCATCAACTAGTCCCTCACTTTTCCACACCCGGTCCGCTAGCCTGGGTTTGGAAAAGTAGCAACTGTTCGTCCCTCCCAATCATCGTATCTTCGTCTTAAATATCTTTTGGTAACGTCCGGATCCTCAGCCATCTCCTCCGGATCTCGCGGGGCCGTTTGGATTCTTCCGTCTAAGCTTGGCCCCTATAAATGGCGTCCTTCCTTTTCTTTCACCTTCTCAAGTCTATCATGGGTCGTTCTCCTCTGAAAGGAAAACGGATTGACTTCGGGTCTCCTTGGCGTCCGCTGCCCTCTAAGCGGACTCGGCCTGAACGAGAACACGGGAAGGAGACTCCTCGCCCAGCCCCTCAGAGGTCTCCTGCCGGCGCTATGTCCTCAGCCTCTCGGCCGCCGACTCCTTCTCGACGCGAGGTCACCCCGCCATCACGCCATCCGTCTACTCCCACAACCGCCCGAGTGACTTCTCAAGACGGGTCCTTTGTTGAGGTGACGGTTCCGGAGCAACTTACTTTCAAGATGACCTTCTCGATTCCGCTGGATGACCTGGACGGGCCGGTTACGGGCCTGATTAATGATGAGGATTACACCCGCTACCTGGAGGTGTATCCGGATGACGAGGAGCCGATTGCGCCACCACTCATGCCAGCTTTCTGGGACTCGTTCTGCCCATCCCCGCCTGGACCATCGGGGGGGTTCTTTGGGGGCGACTCCTCCTCGCTTGGCGAGTGATCGCATGTACCGGAGTCGGTCATAGTTCGGAGGGATTTCTTTTTAGGAGCATTTTCATATTTCCCATTGTAATAAGCTCATTGCCATGTGTATCCTCCTTTTTGCAATAATAATAATAAATGCTATCATTGCCTTATGTCTTGTCGTGTTCTATTACGTACTCATCTGGACGACTGGTCAAGGGGTCGGTCACGTCATCGAAATCTTTTCGGTCTGACGCCTGCAAGATTCCCCGTATCCTGGGCGAATCAACTTTTTCCTGCATTGGCGTGCGAATCTCGCTCTTCTCGAGCGGATCTGATGGAGCTAATCTCTGACAGAGATTCGTGTCATCCGTCTAATCCGGCTCAGTTATGTCAGTTATAATCTCCTCCGCGATCACCGCCTAGGTATTTGCCTATGCTGGGCTATATAAAGGCCCTTCACCGCTGATGCAAATCGCAACATTCTCCACTTCGCGAAGGTACGGCGCCATGAGTTATAGGGACGGTGATCGCCGCTGGTCCATTCGTAACAAGGAGCATGCTCGCCTGGAGCAACTGAAGCAGAAAAGGTTGGCTAACGGGGGTCGTTTGGTGGGCGACTCGGCCTCCGACCCCATCGTGGTGCTTCCAGATATGCCGGACTTGATGTGCAGGGAACCCATTGACGTGGAGACGGAATCTGGGGTGGAGATGGAGCCGGTGGTGGAAGATCCCAAACCAATGGTGGAAGAGAAGTGGGAGGCTCCTCCCCTTTTCGGTGTGGCCATGTCGCCGAGCGCTCTGGAGAGGCCTTTGCAAATGATCGATGACGGGAAGCCCGCCGTGTATCTGGACGAAATGCCTGAGCCTGAACCGAGTCCTCTGCCTTTCCGCTCTCAGTACCTCCTGGAAGGCCCTCCGACCGCTAGCCCGTCGACAGAGAAAGAAGCCAAGCCTTGACTCGTTTTTTCTCTTGTAATTTGCATCGGCCGAGTGCTGGGCCTTGTAATCTTCGTACTAATTAAATAAATTGTGTGTTTTTCTGTCCGACCCCACATTTTCTTAGTATTTTGTCGTCCGACCTTTGGTCTATGGGACTGATTCCTAGCCTTGTTACGGCGAGTCCCTCCTGGTGAGGGAGTCGCCGAGTCTGATTGCCGACCTGGTTACGGGAGTCTCTTCGTGAACTCGGCTGATATCATTCGATGAGCCGGGTTCTACCGGGTCATTTTAGAAGCTTCCAGCTCGTATCATATGGGCCCAGAGGCCATGGCCCACCACGGGCTTCCGGCTTAGCAGGCCGGGTCACTTGACGTTCGACCCTTAGCCTAGGACAGATGCGCCGTCTGTAGGCTAACCCTAGGCCTGAACCGTCGCCTCGCCTTTTGAGGCATTAAATGCGGCGTCCCTTCACGTCTCGTCACCTCCTCTTCCTCCAACGAGAAGGCGGCACGTGGCCGTCCTTTGAAATTCCTCCCCTTTAAATAGCCATTTCGTCTCTCCTTCCGTTTTCTTCTCCAGTCTTTCTTCTCAGCTTCAACTTTGAGCTTCTCCGGCCACTCAGTATTTCCTCCGATCTCTCTCCTAACTTAGGTAATGTCTTCTTCCTCACATTCTTCTTCTTCTCGTCGTTACTCGATCGATAACCTTGAGACGACCTCTCTCTCTTCGTCTTCTCCTTCTGCGTCTTCTTCTTCTCCTCCCCGTCGTATGGAACTTCCGGCGGACATTCCATCGACGTCCTCTCCTCGTCGTATGGAACTTCCGGCGGACGTTCCATCGACATCTTCTCTTCCACCGACCCCCTCTTCTTCGGGGGCGGTTACTCCGCTGAGCCCCGCCCCTCTAACGACGGTGGCGGCTCTGCCGGGTGGCGTCGGACGATCGCGAGGCAAGTTCGATTCCATCGTCCGCCCTTCTGGGTCACCATCCGTCGTTAATGCGGTGGACCTGGAAATGGCCCGATATCTTCTTGGGCCTTCTGCCGTAGTCCTCGCCCCGGAGGGCCGGCAAATTTACGACCCTCCCGAGGGTTATGTCGGTATTCATTTACACTCGGTCGCTTTTGGCTTCCGAGTTCCCTCGTGTTCTTTTCTTTCCCCCGTGATGGTTTCAGGGTTTTCAGGCCCAAGGAGGTCCAACACAACCTTCGGCTGGTGGGTGCACCTTTTAATGAAATGTATGACTATTTCTGAGTTTATGCTAGTACTTGGAACTTTTTGGTATTCTCCCCTCCTCGGGTGTTCAATTGTCTCTCCTTTACAAGAATGGAGGAGCCTTTATATAGCGGCTCCTCCTCTACCGATTTGAAGGCCTTTGATGGCCGACTTCATGGCCAATTAAGATACGGAGCCGTTGGACGCCATTACTCGGTTGACCAATGGCTCTCCCAGGCTTGTAACGGCCTGACCGTGTCCGGCTTTCAATGTCTCAACGGCTCCCTCTTTAGTCGAGCCTCTTCAATGCTCTCAACGGCTCCTTGAGCCGAGTCCTTTCCTGGGCTTGGGCCTCGGTCGACTCCCTGTCTCGGCCTAAGCTCCTACTGGACTCTTTTTGGCAGCTCGGAACTGGGCCCCATGCTTGGGCTTGGGCCGACTCCTCGACTCGGCCCAATTGCTCTTCGGGCTCCTCTCGACGCTGGCCCACTTCTCCCATCTATTTTCTTTGGGCCCTTATACCTTGGGCCGGGGTCCTCACCCCATCAGTATTTGTGATATAAAAACTATTTGGAGTGTTCAATGGCCTAATTGTACGTTTTTGGGGTGTTCAGCGACCTAATTGCATTTTCAGGTTACGTTCAGTAGCCAATTTGAACCTTATATTCCAATACAAAATAAACTATTAATATTAACAAAATATATAAGTAATTAATGGATGAAACTCACACTTTTAACATAATTAAAATGAAAAATATATATAGAATAATAATTTATGGAATAAATATATAATTTTAAGGGTAAATAATGGACTAAAATTGTTGTTTTCCTTATATATAGAATTTTTTTTTTTTGAGTACCCTTATATATAGAATAATTATAAACTAAATCTCTAATTCCCCTAATTTTCCCCATCTTTCTAAGCCTCTTCAGTTCTTCTTCCGTGCGAAACTCTCCGTCGACCGAGTGCGACTGTGCGAGTGAGAGTGAATCAGTGAGCCGCCGGGCGCCGGACGAGGTGAAGAGTTTCGACGCCTACTTCATCAACGCTTATTAACAACAGACAGACATCCGGCGACAAGCTTTAGCAGTTCAGTAGCGCAGCCGAGAGAGAGCATGCAGATCTGCAATTCCTTCTTCGCAAGAGTCCGGCAGTCCGTAATCGATCAGAAACGACTTGTAAGTGCTCATAATTAATCTCGCTTACTTCTTCTCTCATTTATGCCTTGAAGGCGAGGTTTAGAGATCGATCATCATCGTCATTATTGTTAGAATTTAAGAGAAATAGAATCTTATGATGATATGATCTATTCAATTCTACTGCCTATAATGTGTGAATAATTACCAGTTGGAACCGACCTCTGCTGTATCCGCATGTGATTATTGCATGCAAAACGAAGCTTAATTGTTATCAACTTGCAATTGGTATTAGTTATATGTAAATTAGCCTAAGTGATCGAGTTGGCTCCTGGATATTTGCCTGTGATGCATTCTTAGGTCTGAGTTCCACCTCATAGATTGTGTGTGTTGGTGTTGGTGTTGGGCTTTTCTATATAGGTTGGTATGTAGGGGTGTACTTATTAAGTGCTTTGTAATGTTTAATTTGAATATTTTGTTGATAATTGATTAGTTGTAGACTTGTAGAGCCATATTTGTGAATTGTATGAAGAGTAATGTTATATACCCCCCTTTTTTTTTTTTTTCTCTACATTTTCCCCTCCTGACTTGGCATCATTTGATTGGTTTAAATTTCTTTTGTTAATTAGTTGTTGGTTAGCATATTCATGGTCACCCAATGATTGGAGCCACATCAAGAGGGGAAATATGGGAGGGGAAATTTATGATGAGTAAGAAGCATTTTCCTTGTATGAATTGCTACTTGGGTAATTTATCCTTGTGATAGCAAAAACAGTTCGGTGTGAGTGAGGGTTTTAGTGATGGTGTTGCACATTCTGAACCTTCAGTTTCAATAATGCATTGTTAATACATGTTAAGATACACTTAATATATATTCTTGTTGTATTTTGGGTAGGACTATGTGTTCTTCTGCTCATCTAATGTAAAAATTCGCTTCCAATAAATATATTTCACCACTAAAATAGTGTGTGTTTGTGTGTGTGGATTTCATCTCTTTGCAATACACGTGCAGAGGATCCCGGGGGAATTGATTCAGAAATACAAGGATGAACTCTCTGACGTTGTCAAGTTCTGTCTCCCTAGTGGTGGTGAATGGGGCGTGAACTTTAAGAAGAATAAGAAAATGGCATGGTTTGATGATGGTTTTGAGAGCTTCATGGAGGATAACTCTATTGGCATCAACTACTTGTTGCTCTTCAAATATACAAAAAACTCGCGATTTAATGTCCATATTTTTGACCTGAGTGCGACAGAAATTGATTATCCATGTAACTCTCATGGTGCTCAGAAGAGATGTGATCCCGTGAAGGGAATCCCGGGTGGTGGTGGGTATTGCAGCACTGGAGATGATGGGATTGATCAGTCTATCTTTGGCTCTGGCATGAAACGACAGAGAACAACCTCACCTGAAGGGCAAAGAATTTATCACTCTAATGAAAGCAAGGTGAGAAAATTGAAGGAGAGGAGTGTGATTTTAGATGGGAGTGATGGTAAGTATTCTAGCGATACAAGTACATGAAAAATCTGTTTACTATTGATTTTGTTTTTATGCTTGAATTTTGATGACAGTACAGTAAGATTAACCTTGTTAACAATATTGGCATTAAAACTGACATGTTAGACAGTTTTGAGACATTTTAAAGTCAAACTTCAAAATCTTGAGGGCTTGAGGCTATAAGGGCCCTAACCCAAAATGTTTTGGTGATGCAGTTTTAGACTCTCCTCAGAGAGGGTACATTTAGACATTTAGTCATTGCAATTGGTTATTACTGTAATATATAAATGGTGGAAATTGTTAGTTCACTCCCAATCTAATCCTAGCCCATAGTCCAATTAAGTATTATTCTCACTGTAACTCAGACATGTGCAAAATTTTATGCTATTTTAATGAATTGCAGATGCAAACAAACATAACATTCCCAAAAGGGAGAAAATAGAAGGGAATGTTGTGCTTCAGAACCCTCATTTCGCAGTCAGGCTGACAGAATGCGATGTATTAGGTATAAATATGGTGAGTCCTATCAGAATGTGTGTTAGTTATAATTGTTCATGGATGCACAACATATAGATGCTTTCCTATATCTTTTAATTTGATTATTTGACGATGATGATGCAGTACGTGGCAGCGGACTTTGCAAGAAGTCTTTTGCCAGGTAAACCTAGATCTATATATCTTGAGGATGAAAATGGGAAGAGATGGATAGTCAAGTGTAGATTGAGGTCGAGGAGGGTGGGTGATTTGACCTATGGGTGGCGACTGTTTGTTCAGCACAAAAAACTAGTAGCTGGAAATGTTTGTGTTTTTGAGTTGGTCAAGGATTCTCTAGCTGATAAACCTGTATTGAAGGTGCACATATTCCCTTCCTGGGAAGACTTGCCCCAGATTGACTCGCATCAGTTCAATAGCTAGGCTATGTTGGGTTTTGATTGTCCAATTTTGACGTTAATTGACCAACTCCTGGCTGTCAAGTCCTTTTAACATTATGTCAGGTCGGCTCAGGAGATCAATCTAAGTATCTAATACTCTCCTGCCATTACTGGTTATTGAAGGCATTAGAAGTGAAGGTTGAAACACATCTTTTGATCTTATCCTGGAGGGTATTAGGATTCTAGCTAATGATTTTTGTAATGTAAGCTTTGTATTTGTTAAACGACCCGCGAATAGAGTTGCCCATTTACTAGTTAAGGAAGTTGTATTCATAGCTAACCGTAAGGAATGGAGGTCTACCCCTCCGGCCTTTCTTTTGGATATTCTTTGTTCTGCTTTGGCTTAGTACATTTTTAGTATACTAAAACTATATTATTTGTAGAGGAAATTTCAATTTTGGTCACATGACTATAGGGGCATTGTTAATTTCAACACCTGATTTTTAAAAGTGCCAATTTAGTACTTTAACTATATAATTTTTGTTAATTTTGGTCACTCCGGTCAAATTTGGCCGGAAAAATTTAATCCAACATTTAGTCTAGAAAGGATCAAAGGATGATTTTGCCCCTCAGATTATAGACTAAATGTTTGATTAAATTTTTCCGGCCAAATTTGATCGTCAATTCGGCCGGAGTGACCAAAATTGACAAGAATTACATAGTCAAGGTACTAAATTGACACTTTTAAAAGTCAGGTGCTGAAATTAACAATGCCCCTATAGTCATGTGACCAAAATTGAAATTTTCTCTTATTTGTATATGGAAAGTATATTATTTGAGTATTGAAAGTACATTAGTTTATTATCAAATAATGTACATTCATACACAAATAATGTACTTTTAGAGCATCCTTATCAGTTGGGGTTATTAGGGGGAGAATGTTAGAGTGAGTAGAAAAGAGAATAATGTGGGAGGGGAGGAAAAAAAATCAAAATTGATTTTTAAAACAAAAATAAAAAATAAGCATGTCAGAGTAATTCTTTTTCGCTATTGATTCTCTGTCTTCTATCATTAATTCCTTTTTCTTGGGCAGAGTAATATCTCAATCTTTGCGGATGCTCCCCACCCCTTCTCTCTCTTGGTTCTCTTTTTGCCACCATGACATTTTGACCTTAAAAATAGTGAATTCTTTCCCATTTCTCCTCTGATGTAGATGCTCTTAATATATTAAAAATGTACTTTGTATTCATAGTTCATAAAAAAAAAAAATTGCCATTAAAGTCAAAAGTCATTGTCCTACCGAGTAGTTCAAGTAGTGGATCAATTAACGGACGTTTAATCAGGTACGGACGCATATTGAGATGAGAGAAATTTGTAATTATTATTGAATGTGTGTTTCGATTACAATTTGGATCAATGCCGTTGGGCCACAAATTTAAGAAACACCAGTACGTTACAAATTTCACCGTTTGGTCTGTTAAAGGGCCATTAATTTGCTCAATCTGTTACAGTGGAGAAATGGACTGATCCATCCTGCCCGATATAAATTATATTTTTGGTCCATTCGTTTTGATTCGGCAAATTTTACTGTGGACCATGGTCCATGTAGTATTGTTGTCCATAAAGTAAGTATCATTCTAATTATATTTTATTTCATTTGTTAATATTACTCTGTTTTTCAGTTTCATTTTTCATACTCATTAGTTTCATTATAGCAATATTAAAGTATCATTTTAATTCTACTACAGTTTCATTTGACAATATACATTATTGTATGAGCTCTATTTTGTAGTTTCATTTTCTACACATACTAGTTTAATTATAATAATGTTAAAATATTATTTTAATTACACTTCACGTTCATTTGACAATATATGTTATTGTATGGTTCAGATTTTAGTTTCATTTATCACACATACTAGTTTCATTTTAACAATATTAAATTATCATTTTAATTATACTGAGCTCTGTTGTTTTGTTTCATTTTTCACACACATTAGTTTAATTTCAACAACACTAAAGTATCATTTTTTTTTTGAAATTACTAAAGTATTATTTTAATTCTACTATAGTTTCATTTGACAACCATGATCCACATATCACTATGGACCATGGTCCACTATATAACAACCCTTTTGATTCTCTCATCTTTTGAATGAGGAAAATGACATTTTTATCTCTAATTAAAGAGAAATATCACTTTTATCTCTCAATTATCTTCAAATAATTTTTTTTTTCTTTTGTTCTTAAGTTCCATTACAGTTGGGTTTAAAAAAAAAATCATTTAACAGATAATTATGATACGAAAAAAGTGACTTCAAAAATAATTGAAGAGAGGAAAATAGTGGCGGTATAGAGAGGTGAAACATACTATTTCTTATGTCATTTTCCATTCTCGAATTTCGTTAAGCTGCATAGAAAATAGGGATATAAGATTATTAGTGCAAATTAAGATTTATGTTGATGACCTAATTGATTAAAACTTTTGAATATCAAGAAATTTTACGGATGCTAAAAGCAGTAAAAAAAATCAATGTTTTCGATGAAAAAACCTTCGATTTTCGAACACTAATAGATGGTTGAAAATCACTGGATCCGAATCATGTATAACTATTCAATCCTTATACCATGGACCAAAATTCATAGTACACTATGGACTCTGGTATATGTATATGTATTTTATGTGTGAATTTTTATGTTTTATGGTAATCCGTATAAAACTAGTATTTTTTTTTTATGCGCGATGCGTAAAAAATAGGTGCCCAATATTAGTACATTATATTAAATTTTTAAATTTATTATATTTTAGATATTTAAATTATTCTAAATAATAATAATAATAATAATAATAATAATAATGTAAATCATTTTTATAAATTTGATATTTATATTTTAGGTAATAATTAACATATAACTCAAATATATAATGTGTATATATTATTATTATTATTAGGAATAAGGGTCAAATAGGCCACTCAACTGCACACCAAAGTGCAATTAGACCATTGAACTCAAAAAGAATGCAATTAAGCCATTGAACAACACAAAAACATGCAATTTAGCCCAAAATGACTTGTTTACCAAGAGTAGCAAGTTACCAATTTCAAAATTAATTTTTTAAAATAATTTTTAATAAATAAATAATTAAATTATTATTAAAAACAAAAACAAAAACTTCCGGCCGGAGACGGACCTCCGTCTCTAGCCATGGAGACAAAGACCTTCGTCTCCCTGGCCATGGAGACGAAGGACGTTGTCTCCATGGCCGGAGACGATTCGTCTCCATAGCCATGGAGACAAAGCCGGCCGGAGACGATTCGTCTCCGGTCGGCAGTTTCTATTTTTTTTTTAATATTTTAATTAATTATTTATTAAAAGTTATTTTAAAAAATTAATTTTGAAATTGGTAACTTGCTACTCTAGGTAAACAAGTCATTTTGGGCTAAATTGTATGTTTTTGTGTTGTTCAATGGCTTAATTGCATTCTTTTTGAGTTCAATGGCCTAATTGCACTTTGGTGTGCAGTTGAGTGGCCTATTTGACCCTTATTCCTTATTATTATTAATGAAGAAGATAATAAAATATATGGTGGATGCATGTGTGTGGTAACAATAGTGAAAAAAGATAACGGAAGTTATAACGGTAGGGGTATGTTTGTCCAAAATATTTTAATATACAACTTTTATAGCATAATGTACAAAAGAACTTAACGGAAAAAACGAACATAAATGAAGTGTATAATTTTCATTCACACTTATTATGTTTTTATTTTAGATTATGTACCTTAATGGAGTGTTTGGTATGATGGAATTGCAATTCCATTCCTACCAAACTCCATGGAATTGCAATTCCATGGTTTGGTTGGAGGGCAATTCCACGGAATTACAATTTCTTCCAACCATGGAATTGCAATTCCTAAGCCTCCCTAGAAATTGCAATTTCACACTTTGTGAAATTGTAATTCCATGATAAATTACCATTTTATCATTTACCATTTTATCTTTTACCATTTTATCCTTCTTATGATTATTATTATTATACAAGGACATTTTATTTTTTATTCACTCCTTCCCTTTCAATTCTCAATCGTTCTATTCCTTCCTATCAAGCAATGTTATTTAAATTCCACTTTATTCTTTTCTCACGGAATTACAATTTCTTTCCCCCCTAATTTCCTCCTTCCAACCAAACGCTCTGTACCTTAAACAAATTAATAATTGTGTCTTATGTTATGAATTTATGTGCCTTGTGCTGTGAAATTTTGTGCCTATGAACACAAATTATGTACCTAAATCAGTTTTGAAAAATAAGTAAATATATATAATATGTGTATGTGTCTTGTTGTGATTTTGTGTTATGAAATTATGTATCTTACGAGTAAGAATTTTGTACCTCGTCGTTTCGGTCTAGCATTGTGGACCCTGGTACATAATATAAAGAGTAAATACCCAAAATGGTCCCTCGACTATAGCTAAATTCACAAATTGGTCCTCGACTTTCAATTTCAACCAATTAAGTCCTTAACTTTGTAATTTTAACACAATTTGGTCCTCTGTCTATTTGACCGTTTGTTGACTGTGATTTTTGAGGATATGTATGTAATTTCATGGTCCATCATCGATTTTGTAAGGTTCTGGTTGCATTTCCAGACCACACTGTTACATTTGAATCCACTGCCGAAAGCAATTTACCAAATACGGTCGCCTTGCTTCATCCTCCCTTTGGATTCAATGTAGTTGAGTTCGTACCAGAGCGAAGAAGACGATGTGTTTCCGAATCAGTGCAACGTCATCCTGGAGGCCTCCACGTGCTCCGACGAGAGCTGAAGGTTCTTCTGGAAATCGTCGATCACGATCAACAAACGGTCAAATAGATAGAGGACCAAATCGTGTTAAAATTACAAAGTTAAGGACTTAATTGATTGAAATTGAAAGTCGAGGACCAATTTGTGAATTTAGCTATAGTCGAGGGACCATTTTGGGTATTTACTCTAATATAAATTGCCATTTATGATTTGAGCATTGTTATTTTATCTTTAGTATTTGTGGCGTAATTTATTATAGGCTTGCAACATGCATTTACTTTAAACGAAAAAAGCAGTTTTTGATTAATTTCATCATGATCAATGTAGGTACATAGTCGATCATTTCCAATACCCTAATAGGAAATTGCTTTCTATAAATCTCTTGCCTCATGTGATTAAAGATTTGCCAGAATTGTAAGAAGAGGACCACTTAAAAGACTTCAAAACCAAACAGAAATTAAAGGGACTTAGTCAGACCATTTTGAATAAATTTAAAGTTGTATAAGGGCACCATCAATATCATCAACATAATAAATAAATTACACCACCAAATTGAAAAATATAACTCTTATTAATCAATTCC